TCTGGCTAGACCAGAGGATGGACACTGGTACAGATAGGAACTGGAAATACAGGGAATCCAGGGCGGATGATCCCTTCAGGACCAGTGGTGTGACTGGCGATACTGGGAGTATAGAGGGAGAATGGGTTGGAAAGAGAGAACCGATTACAAGGATCTATATGTGACCTCCTCCCTGGGGGATGGACAACAGAAAAGTGGGTGAAGGCTGATGTCGGACAAGGCAGGATATGACAAAATAAACAATTTATAAATTATCAAGGGCTCATGAGGGAGGGGGGAGTGGGGAGGGAGGGGGAAAATGAGGACCTGATGCCAGGGGCTTAAGCGGAGAGCAAATATTTTGAGAATGACAAAGGCAATGAATGTACAAATGTGCTTTACACAATTGATGTGTGTGTGGATTGTGATAAAAGTCGTATGAGTCCCTAATAAAACGATTAAAAAAAAAAAAAAAAAAGGTGGCGTTCTGGATCTCTCTCTCACGGCCAAGGCCAGCCGGACGCCAGCCCAGGTCCCTCCACCAGCTCCGTAGGCAGGGGGCAGGACATGAGACAGTGAGTCAGGACGCCGTCTCAAGGGTGGGGCTGAGGGGCAACACCGAGTCTACCCTGAGCTGCCCCAAGAACAAGCGCAGCCGCTGGGGAAGACACGCAGGCAGAAGGTCCCTTTGCAGCGAGGACGGTGAGACTGCAGCTCCTTCACGCTGAGCGCACCCTCAGCAAAGAGAACAGCAGCGCAGCGGCCAACGCGGCCTTCCGTCCGCAGCAGACTGCCATGGCAGGTACCGTGGCTCTCTGAGAACACACGGAGACGCTGTCCTCAGCCTCCACCGTCACCGCACTCACTCCTCCCCACCACACCAGCCCTCTGTCTTCAGAAACCAGAGGGTCTCCACACCACACACCCCCCCCTCCACACCAGACCAGGCCCTTCCAAACGTCCTGGCCTTCCCCCACGGGTGACACATCTGTGGCCCCGGCACGATGCACTGACGACCCCCAGCCTCATCCACCGTGCTCTCAGTGCCCAGAGCGCGCTCCCCGGCACTGACCCTGGTCACAGCAGCTTCTCCAACACGGAGCCTGCAGACGGGAGGGGCTCGCTGGCTACGGCTGGGGAGGGTTCCACTGAGAGGACAGGGCACGAAAGAGCAGCCAGCGGCGTTGGCCTGGAGGCGCGGTGACGTGTCTGACGTGCTCACCTACTCGTGTGGAGGTTCTCTCTCACGGTTCTGAAGAAGTCAGCATAATAGGTCGCAGCAATGGACGCCAGAATCCAGAATCCAGAATGGATATTAAGTCTGGGAAGAGGTTTGTCCTTCGTCTCAACAGCTACGGAAGTTTCTGGAAAGAAAGAAGATTTTTGTTTTTCGATTATTTTCTAGCGCTTCCTAATGGCTGCATGCCCTCCCATCCCATCAGTGATTTCTCCTGCAACACCATCAGGAAAGACTGACATCTTCAGAAATCATCAACAGGAGCCTGGTATAGTGGAGTCCTGATGGCGTAGTAAGTTGAACATTAGGCTGCTGACCGCAAGGTCAGCAGTTCTAAACCACCTGCTGCTGTGAGGGAGAAAGATGAGGCTTTCTACTCCTGTGAAGAGTGAACAGTGTCAGCATCCCACAGGGGCAGTTCTCCCCTGTCCTAGAAGATCGCTATGAGTCAGCATTGACTTGATGGCCGTGGGGGAGAGAACAAGAAGGCCCCTTTGGGGAGGGGGGCACAAACACCTTGCACCCCACTACTAACCAGAACCTTGGCAGTTACACTGCACCCCACCCACCGCCCTCTGCCATTGATCTCATTCCAACTCACAGGGACCCTACAGGACAGGGCAAACTGCTCCTGAGCGTTCCCAAGGTTGAAGATCTTTATGGGAGCAGCCAGCCTCACCTTCCTCCCTTGGAGTGGCTGCTGGATTGGAACCACCGACCTGCCGCTAACAGACCAGCCCATAACCCACTGTGCCGATGGGCTTCTTTACACCCACCCAGTGGCCATAAAATCTGCTCAATGGTCAAACTACTGCCTCCAACTACACTTTCCAACAATGGACGCATCCACAGTGATGCAGGAGTGCCATCGCCTGGCAGTGCAGACTTTTCAATGTCATGGTTCACATGTCCTCTACGGAGAGAAGGTCGAAGGCTGTCATCGGGTCGAGTCTGACGTATGACACCCCCCCACCTCCCACCCCACCCCACCACTACCACCACCCACCCCCCTTGTGACAGCTTGGAACGGTCCATCAGGTTTCCTGGGCTGTCAGCTGTGTGGTAGCCAATGGCCAGGCCTGCTCTCCTGCGGAGCCAGAGCAGCTGACAGATGTGGGCAGATGTGCACCACAGTGCTTATGGTTAATGGCCAAGCACTTAACCACTTTGGGCTCCTTAAGGAGGTCCTTTTAAAAAAAAAAAAAGCAAAGAAAAAAAAATAGGTCCTTAACACCAAAAAGCAACACCCCAACCACCCACCCCCACTGTCAAGTTCATTCTGGCTAATAGTAACCTTCCAAGGCAGAGCGGAACTGCCCCCATAGGGTTCCTGAGGCCTTAAATCATTCTGGAAGCAGAAGGTTCGAACTGCTGACCTTGCAGTTAGCAGCTCAACCTGTAGTGGGCAAGGGACCCAAAGAAAGCCATTGGGCTTGTAAATTAAGTAAGAAAGAAAAACACACAAACGCAAAAGGCAAAGTTATCAGAGCACAAAAGAGGTTCCCAGTCTCTGAAAAGTGATTCTTGTCACCATTTCCAGCAGCATTAGAACCAGCAGGAAAGGGGGAAGGGCACACAGGCCAGCGAGTCCACTTGGGCCACCAGAGCTCCAGGTGGAAAGAACGAGTCAGCTGAGGGAAAGCTCTCCTGCTGACTCTGGCTCGCTCGCTCTCAGCTGATGTAAGACCCACTGGCCCACACCTGAGGTTCTAGGCCCTTAACTGCATGTCAGAGTCCCTGGGGAATGGGGGTGGGGAGTCAACAATACCAGGGAGGCCCTCAATGTAAACCCCTGCCATGTCTAGCTATATTGGGTTTTGGTTATTGTGAAAAGGGCATCCATTCAGCTGGTTTACCTGCTAGAAATCAAGGGTCTAACATGAAATTCTCTCACCCTGAACTCACACTTCCCCAGCCCAGAAGCAACCACGAAGGCTCATTTCTACACAGGTCTTCCAGAAGTAGACTATGCATCTACAGGCAAACATACAGCCCAGGTCAGGTTTTCCATCCAAATGCAAGTATTACATACGCAGCTCTGCGCCTCCCTTGATAATCTTCCACCGTAGTACAAAAAACCCCCTAGCCCTCTGTCCCACAAAGGAATACATCCAAATTTATTGAGCCAGCTCTCTCTGCTGACGGGCAACTAAGAGAGTCCCAGTCCTTTGTGAAAAAAAGACGGTAAAAGAATGGATGCGTTTGAATTGTGAGGCTGGAGGAGAATATTGAAAGTACCATGAACTGCCAAAAGGACAAACCGATCTATCTTGCAGGAAGTAAGACCAGAGACAAGGATGGTGAGACTTCATCTTACATACTTTGGACATATTGTCAGGAGAGACCAATCCCCGGAGGGCACCATGCTTGGGAAAGTGGAGGGGCAGCAAAAAAAAAAGGAAGACCCTCAAGGAGATGGATTGACATCATGGCTCCAACAATGGGCTCAGCCATCGGAACAATTGTGAGGATGGTGCAGGACCATGGAGCGTTTCATTCTGCTGTACATACGGTTGCTATGGGTCGGAGACAAACCCGTCGCATCTAACAAGTCGCTTGCTGCTACAAGTAATGACAAGGTGAAACATTTTACATGCACATCTCCGGATGCCCGTACAAGTATGCCAGCTCTGAGAAGAGGGGGTGGGTATGTGTCATCTTAATGGATGCTTCCAAACAGATCCATCCGAGTACAGGCAGAAGTCAGGATGGCCTGACTTGATCTCCCGGACTTTGGACATGTCACAGGAGAGACCAGTCCCTAGAGAAGGGCATCATGTGTGGGAAAGTGGAAGGGCGGCACAAAGGAGGAATGCCCTCAAGGAGATGCGCTGACATGTTGGCTGCAACCATGGGCTCGGGCACAAGGGCAATGGTGAGGATGGCGCAGGACCGGGCAGTTTTTATCTATGA